ATTCTGCCCTCCTCGTTTTTCATGACACCGTCTTCGTCGCTGCCCTCCACTCTATTTCTCGCTCTACCTCTCAGGGAACGCGGAAGTGCATTCCCTGGTGGAATGTGGACTGTGTTCTGGCTGTCCGCTGTAAGCGTGCAGACAGGAAGAGACACCGCCGCCGGCAGACGGCTGATTCTTTTCTTTTGTTTCGGAAGGCAAGTGCGGTGGCCCATAGGACCATCCGTACGGCTAAACGTGAGTGTTGGAAATCTTGTGTTTCCCCCCATTACGTCCAAAACTCCTCTGCCACAGATCTGGAAGCGTATCCAAAAGATTGCGGGTAAGTTTGTTCTCGATGTCTCGCCATTCCTTCACCTCCGTAGTACTCTTGTGGTGAACCCGTTGCAGGTCGCGACCAAACTGGGTTCCCACTTTTCATCTGTTAGCTCTGGTTCTCATCTTCCTCATTCTTTCCTTCTTCGTAAGCCTGTTCTTGAATCTCGTCCTTTAGATTTCTGCATCCATCTCAGACTTCCCTATAATGATCCTTTCGATCCCTTCTCTCCCTCTGAACTTCAGTCTGCCCTGGCCCTCTGCGGTTCTACGTCAGTTGGCTCCAATGTCATTCATTGTGAGATGCTTCACCATCTCCCTCCGTGAGATGGTGAAGCTACCGTCCAGCCCAAGTGGCACATGTCCAACCACTTGAGCTGGACGGTACAGCGACGGTCTTGCTTCATGTAGGTCGGCGTTCAATCTCCGACCGTCCAAGTGGTTGGGCACCATTCCTTCCCCCCTGTCCCATCCCAAATCCTTATCCTGACCCCTTCCCTGTGCTATATAGTCGTAATGGCTTGGTGCTTTTCCCTGATAATCCCCCCCTCCCTCCGTGCACGTCTCAGTATTTACTGAGTCTGAATAATCGGGTCTGGGAGTCGTCGTCAGTCCCCTGAGGACTGGCTCAATGCCATTGTCCTCCCTGTTCAGAAACCAGGGTCTCTCAGAACATACCCTAAGGACTTTTGCCCTATTGTCCTCACAAGTTGTGTCTGCACACTCTTTGAACGTATGGTTAACGTTCGTCTGATGTGGTTCTTAGAACACTATCATCACTTCTACCCTTCTCAATTTGGTTTTCGCAAGTGCAGCAGCACAACAGATGCCCTGGTGAACTTGGAGGTCTATATTCGTACTGCTTTTGCTGTGAAGACCTCCGTTGTTGCCGTATTTTTTTAATCTAGAAAACGCTTACGACACCACCTGGAGATATCATATTCTGTCCCAACTTCATTCTCTTAGCCTTCGTGGGAATCAACCTCTCTTCCTCCAAAGCTTCCTCTCTCGTCATTCCTTTCGAGTGAGGCTTGATGCCACCCTCTTTGCCCCTTTTAGGCAATATGAGGGTGTACCCGAAGGTAGTGTTCTGAGCATTACTCTTTTTCTCGTTGCCCTCAATGGTCTTCTTTCCTCCCTTCCTTCTGGCGTCTTCTCTGCTCTCTATGTCGACGATCTTACTCTTTGTTCTCGGGGTGAAGATTCGCCTCTCCTTTACCGGTGGCTTCAACTTGCGATTGATGCCGGGTCGTCTTGGGCTACCGATCATGGCTTCAAGTTATCTACGTCTAAGACTTGTGCTATGACTTTTAATCGGAAGCATGTCGTTCTTCGTCCCTCTTTGTCACTTTATGGTCATCCTTTTGTGTACAGGGATTCCGCTAAGCTTTTGGAGGTTAATCTTTGACACTCGTTTGTCATGGTCGCCCCATATATCTTACTTCCAAGTTGAATGCTCTAAGGCCTTTAACCTCCTTAAGGTTTCGTCCCTTACTTCTTGGGGAGTGGATAAGCGCACGCTCCTCTCTTTACATTCCTCTCTTGTCCTGTCTAAACTCGATTAAGGTTGTCCTACTTACTCGTTCGCTTCTCCTTCTACTCTTCGCCGTCCTGATGCTTTGCACCATACTGGGTTACGCCTCAGTTTTAGTGCCTTTCGTTTGACTCCCATCCTCAGCTTGTATATTGACACTGGCTCCTTTCTGTCCAGGACCGCCGTGATCGCTACTGTCTTTGCTATCTTGCGCGGTTCTTGCACATCCTTCCTCTCGCCTCTGTCGTGCTTTAACTTCTACTCCTCCTGTGGCTCCAGTTCCTCTTCAGCACCTCCCTTTTTCTGTCCGGTTATCTTGCTTGCAAGATTCTCTTTCGGTTTGTATTTCTAATATTTCTCCTTGTATTGTTCCTTCCTTGATCCCGTGGAGAGTCCCCCCTTCCAAAATTTTGTACGTCCTTGACCTGCATCACAAAAGCTTTTACCCCCTACTACGGTTCTGAAACGCCTTTTCCTTGAGTACTTTTCTTCACACTCCCACTCCATTTCTATCTTCACCGAAGGATCTAAGTCTGCGGACGGTGTAGGCTACTCTGTTGTTTTCCTGACCACACTTATATGTGTCGCCTACCTCCTGAGACTAGCATCTTCACAGCAGAACTTTATGTTATTCTATATGCTCTTCGTCTCCTGCTTTTTCGTTGTCAATCCTCCTTTGTGACTGTAGTTGACTCTCGTAGTGCCCTCATGGTTCTACGGTCCTTTAATACGGTCCATCCGGTGATCATCGAGATTCCACATTGGCTGTTTCTTATCTCCAGTAAATTTAAATCACTAGAGTTTTGCTGGGTTCCCAGCCATATTTGTGTTTTTTTCAATGAGCGTGCGAATGCTGCCACTAGGGAAGCTATCCGCTCTTGTCCCATCTCCCATAAAGGTATACCTTATTCCGACTTTTACCCAGTTATTCATTCTTCCATCCTTGCCCGTTGGCAGGGTTGTTGGACTTCTGTTGTTGGTAACAAACTGCGTACTCTTAAGCATAGTGTGTCCCCATGGCCTTCCACCTACCATCGTAACTGGCGATGGGAAACGGCTCTAGCAAGGATGCATATTGGCCATACACGCTTAACTCACGGTCACTTAATGGAGCACCACCCTGCTCCTTATTGTCCAAACTGTATTGTCCCTCTTACAGTCGTGCATATCCTTGTTGACTGTCCTGACTTCCAGGACGAGCGTGTGTCTTGCTTTCTGACTGTCCCTCACGATCACTTGTCTCTCGATAGAATTCTTGGCGAATCGGATACTTTTGATATCGTTCGCCTTACGCATTTCTGTTCTCGTATTGGCATGTTTGGTGATATTTAGTGCCCTCTGATTATTCCACACATTTGATGGTGCTACATAGCCTTCTCGGTTTGGTGCCTTCTTTTGATAATTACTTACTCCACCGTCCCCTCGTCCTCCCCACCATCTCCCACTCCCCTGTCCCCTCGTCCTCCCCACCATCTCCCACTCCCCTGTCCCTTCGTCCTCACTATCATTCCTCCCTCCACCGTCCCCTCGTCCTCTCCACTCATTCCCCACTCCCTCATCCAATGCGTTCCCAAATGATCTGATGTTCCCATCAGAAAATTGGGAATATCAAATGATCTGATGTTCCCATTACTGAAATATAAGAAAAACAGTTTAAAAAACGAAATGAAAAAAATGAAAAAAATAAAAAAAAATAAACTATACCTTTTTTTTAGATATATACAAGTGTTGTTACGTTCTTGTACAGCCACTATTATGCGTAGCGTTTCGGGCAGGTCCCTGGAATACGACCCCCACGAAGAATCGTTGTTACAACCAAGTACACATTTTACTGTTGAGTTAAACAGAGGCTACAGTTAAGGATTTGCGCCCAGTAAATCCTCCCCGGCCAGGATACGAACCCATGACGAAGCACTCGCGGAACGCCAGGTGAGTGTCTTACCACTACACCATGGAGACTGGTAACATTTCATTTCATTCATAAGTTTGTCTTATATATATATATATATATATATATATATATATATATATATATATATATATATATATATATATATATATATATATATAGTAGGTTTATAAAAACACGCACCTATTCGAGTGCAACGTTGTGTCAAAATTTCAAAGCAATCGAGGTTTTGAAGATTTCCCTCACATGAAAAACACATTTTCTCTAAAAAAGCATGTTTTTTTCCGTCACAGATGTGACATTTATATAGTATGTATATAAAACCCCGCTCGGATGCGAATGGAACGTTGTGTGAAAATTTCAAAGCAATCGGTGAAGAACTTTCGAAGATTAGCGATTTTGAACAAACGAACATTTACATTTTTATTTATATAAATTATATGATTACAGATACGTGTAATGATTATATATATGTGTGTGCATTACACATATGTGTATGTGATTGCATATATGTCTTAAGTATTGATATTAGGGAAGTGGGTGGTACAAAATAGTGTGAGTTTGAAGCACAAGGTAGGAAACTATGAGGATGAAATTAGGAACTTTTTGGTTTTACTTTTGAACAGGACATGGGTTGGACAATTTTTTAATTCATCAGGGAGTGAGTTCCAAAGACTGGGCCCTTTTATTTGCATGGCGTGTTTGCACAGATTTAGTTTGACTTTGGGAATATCAAAGAGATATATATTTATATCTGATGTGGTGCTCATGGGTTTTATCACACCTATCAAGGGAAAAGTTTCAGATCAAGATTAGCATTTAGGAACAAGGTTTTGTACATGTAGACAGCACATGAGAATGTGTGGAGTGAGTGTATGTTTAGCATGTTAAGGGACTTGAACAGAGGGGCTGTGTGTTGTCTGAAGACAGAGTTTGTTATAGTTCCTATAGCAGATTTTTGCTGGGTGATGATGGGCTTAAAGTAATGTGCAGTGGTTGAACACCATGCACAGATACCGTATGTAAGATAGGGATGTCTGTAGGCATGGTTGACCGTTTCCCACTGTATGGGTATAGGGACATAGGTGACTGCCGTGACCATGGCTATAGGAATTCCTTAATAATCCAAACAAATCTCTCCCCTTCAATGAGCTAAAACCTTCCAACTATATATACGTTTCATAACAAATATAGAAATGTGAATTTCATGCTCTAAAGTGGGATGTTTAATGTAAACAGTACCGCTGAGCGAGTGCCGACGATGAGGAGGGTGGTCTCCCTTGGCACCTTGTCCAGCTCCAGGTTGGTGGCCTCTGTACGCCGCCTCCTGGCCTCCGTCACCGCCACCTCCCACACACTCAGGTTGCTCCCGCCACCACTCTCATTGCCTGCTTTGGTGTTGGTGGTGGCCTTGGTGGCGCTGGTGCTGGCCAACCTGGTGTTGCTGCCCGCTCTGCTCACGCTGCTGCCCGCCCTGCTGCTGCTGCCCGACCTCATACCAGCACTGTAACAGAAAGTTGATTTTACATATTCATACATAAAAACATTGATTGTAACCATGATATATATATATGTACTTCAGCCTATAGTTTAGACCTATTGTCTTGTGTATGATCCTCTGTCCTGTGTGACAGTGAATACCAGCATTATCCTCACTTTAATAAGACTTAATTGATTAGGCAAATTTGTAATTAAATTTTATCAATAAAGATATTAATAATAAAAAACCGCAACAAGTGCCACACTTGCCACTCAGCAGTAAGGATGAAAGGCGCACAAAGTATGCACAGTAACCAATTCACGTTTCACTCATTAACCATGAGACTCACTTTTTACTTACATATACTCGCGCAATAAAACAGTGCTGGTTATGTATTTATCATAAATACATAATCATCACTTTTTTCTTCCTTAACACTAAATATATAAAGATTTACAAGGTTCTAACAATACATTTAGGGGCCTTAAGCAAGGGTATTAGAGCAAGTAAAGTAACTTTTTGACCTTGTATATTGTATTAACCCTATCTTAAGCAAGTCTATAACACCGTTGCGAACCCTCTCTCTATGTAGCCTATTCGTTCTATGAAATCTAAATCTATTAATAAGGCAGCTAACCCTAGGAATCTCTGCGATATAGCCTCTACAAGGGAAATGAGTTTCATTCTATCATTATTTACAAAATCTGAAATGTACAAAGAAGCACATAGAACAGGCTAATTAAACGTAGCCTAATACGCCACATTGTATCAAATAGAAATAGAAACACAAATCAGATTATAATATTCAATACATTTGTACGGAATTCTCTCAATTAGAATGATGCCCTGCACTCACATACCACAACAGGTGATTTATCTTGGAAAAGTATTATTTTATTCAATTTATATATTTATATACTCCCAGGAGCGGAGACGAGGAGAATCCCAGCTTTACACTATATAATGGCTCTCGTCTATATACAGTGAGGACGTTCTATAGTCTTGGGAAACGCCAAGTTTTCCAAGTTTCCTACCCCAGCCAGTTTCATAATATATTGCATGTATTTATTTGATACAATATATGTTTCGATTACAGTGCCGTGTGTGTGGACCTCCACATATGTGATCACATGTGATCACGTCATATGTAAACATGAGACATTGGGAGTCTCCTGCCGCTCCCTAAAGTGTGGCTGCCCTGTACTTTCTTGCAACGCTCTGTAAGCCATCTTGCACCTTGTGCATTTTTTTTTTGCAGTTCATCTTCCTGGTTACATAGTAGTTTTTTGCAACTATGTGTACCATAGTACAAAGATTAACGTAATATATGATAGTAGAATTTTGAAGTATTCTCTTTATTGCCCGAAAAAATGAAGCTAAAATAAAATTATATATTTCTAGGCCTAGTATAGCACACACACACACACATATTATATATATATATATATATATATATATATATATATATATATATATATATATATATATATATATATATATATATATATATATATATATATATATATATATATATATATATATATTAGTATATTTTGGTAGCAGTCTTTCCTGTAGACATATATTATTAAATATGACCGAAAAAGTAAGATTAATAATTCTAACACGAATTTTCTCTATCTTTCTTACATTTCTTTTCACTGTTGGTGGTAATTCAAAGATCAATTCTCCAAAATTCATTTTTATTTCTAGTCTGAGGCGACACTTGAGCGCATTTCGTAAAACTTATTACATTTTCAAAGACTTTAGTTTACAAACACACAACTGAAACTGAATAGAGCTTACACATCTTCGAGGTTTATATCTACATTTGGGTGAGGTGGATGAGGTGAAAAAACGAACTTTCAACAATGGGTATTCAATGGGTATTAAATTCAAACACAAGACAGAACACGAAACAATGGGTATTGAATGGAAGTAATTGTAGAAAGCCTATTGGTCCATATTTCTTGATGCTTCTATATTGGAGCGGAGTCTTGAAGTGGGTAGAATATAGTTGTGCATTAATTGGCTGTTGATTGCTGGTGTTGACTTCTTGATGTGTAGTGCCTCGCAGTCGTCCAGCCGTCTGCTATCGCTGTATCTATCGATGATTTCTGTGTTGTTTGTTAGGATTTCTCTGGTGATGGTTTGTTTGTGGGAAGAGATTATATGTTCCTTAATGGAGCCCTGTTGCTTATGCATCGTTAAACGCCTGGAAAGAGATGTTGTTGTCTTGCCTATATACTGGTTTTTTTGAGGCTTACAGTCCCCAAGAGGGCATTTGAAGGCATAGGCATAGTTTCTCATGAGTAGGCTGGCCGTTTTTCTGGTTTTATAGTAAATCGTCAGTTGTATCTTCTGATTTCTGTCTGTAGGGATAACGTTTCTACTGACAATATCTTTCAAGACCCTTTCCTCCGTTTTATGGGCTGTGGAAAAGAAGTTCTTGTAAAATAGTCTAATAGGGGGTATAGGTGTTGTGTTAGTTGTCTCCTCAGAGGTTGCATGGCGTTTCACTTTCCTTCTTATGGTGTCTTCTACGAAACCATTGGAGAAGCCGTTGTTGACTAGGACCTGCCTTACCCTACAGAGTTCTTCGTCGACTTGCTTCCATTCTGAGCTGTGGCTGAGGGCACGGTCGACATAAGCGTTAACAACACTCCTCTTGTACCTGTCCGGGCAGTCACTGTTGGCATTCAGGCACATTCCTATGTTTGTTTCCTTAGTGTAGACTGCAGTGTGGAAAACTCCGCTCCTTTCCATGACTGTTACATCTAGAAAGGGCAGCTTCCCATCCTTCTCCATCTCGTAAGTGAAACGCAACACAGAATTCTGCTCAAATGCCTCCTTCAGCTCTTGCAGATGTCTGACATCAGGTACCTGTGTAAAAATGTCGTCAACATACCTGCAGTATATGGCCGGTTTCAAGTTCATGTCGACTAAGACTTTTCGCTCGATGGTACCCATGTAGAAGTTTGCAAACAGGACACCTAGGGGAGAACCCATGGCGACCCCATCTACTTGCTTATACATGTGTCCATCCGGGCTCAAGAAGGGTGCCTCTTTAGTACAAGCTTCGAGTAGTTTCCTCAGACTGTTTTCTGGTATGTCAAGAGGAGTACAGGCCCGATCACGGTACACTCTGTCGGCTATCATCCCGATTATTTCATCCACAGGTACGTTGGTAAACAGAGATTCTACGTCCAACGAGGCTCTTATCCCTGTGGCCCGTGTTCCCCGCAGCAAGTCAACAAATTCCTTTGGAGACTTCAGGCTGAAGGCGCAAGGAACATAAGGGACATAACCTCACCCAAATGTAGATATAAACCTCGAAGATGTGTAAGCTCTATTCAGTTTCAGTTGTGTGTTTGTAAACTAAAGTCTTTGAAAATGTAATAAGTTTTACGAAACGCGCTCAAGTGTCGCGTCAGACTAGAAATAAAAATGAATTTTGGAGAATTGATCTTTGAATTACCATCAACAGTGAAAAGAAATGTAAGAAAGATAGAGAAAATTCGTGTTAGAATAATTAATCTTACTTTTTCGGTCATATTTAATAATATATATATATATATATATATATATATATATATATATATATATATATATATACAATCTTTGGACAACACCCACCAGTGGGACTCGAACCCAGAAAGCACAACTACCTTCCAGTAGCTGGCATAACTAGTATGCTTTAACCCACTACGCCATCAGACCTTACAAAAGAAGTAGATAGTTCGAGATATATATCTCAAACATCTCTACCTCCCGAAGGCACCAGATGAGTGAGGGGTCAGTCTGCATTTTTCGTCAAGCCACTGTCAATGTGAGAGAACTCGTGTCCAGCTTATAAGCCTATACTTGCATAAACCACAAGTGAAGATAAACAATCTTTGGACAACACCCACCAGTGGGACTCGAACCCAGAAAGCACAACTACCTTCCAGTAGCTGGCATAACTAGTATGCTTTAACCCACTACGCCATCAGACCTTACAAAAGAAGTAGATAGTTCGAGATATATATCTCAAACATCTCTACCTCCCGAAGGCACCAGATGAGTGAGGGGTCAGTCTGCATTTTTCGTCAAGCCACTGTCAATGTGAGAGAACTCGTGTCCAGCTTATAAGCCTATACTTGCATAAACCACAAGTGAAGATAAACAATCTTTGGACAACACCCACCAGTGGGACTCGAACCCAGAAAGCACAACTACCTTCCAGTAGCTGGCATAACTAGTATGCTTTAACCCACTACGCCATCAGACCTTACAAAAGAAGTAGATAGTTCGAGATATATATCTCAAACATCTCTACCTCCCGAAGGCACCAGATGAGTGAGGGGTCAGTCTGCATTTTTCGTCAAGCCACTGTCAATGTGAGAGAACTCGTGTCCAGCTTATAAGCCTATACTTGCATAAACCACAAGTGAAGATAAACAATCTTTGGACAACACCCACCAGTGGGACTCGAACCCAGAAAGCACAACTACCTTCCAGTAGCTGGCATAACTAGTATGCTTTAACCCACTACGCCATCAGACCTTACAAAAGAAGTAGATAGTTCGAGATATATATCTCAAACATCTCTACCTCCCGAAGGCACCAGATGAGTGAGGGGTCAGTCTGCATTTTTCGTCAAGCCACTGTCAATGTGAGAGAACTCGTGTCCAGCTTATAAGCCTATACTTGCATAAACCACAAGTGAAGATAAACAATCTTTGGACAACACCCACCAGTGGGACTCGAACCCAGAAAGCACAACTACCTTCCAGTAGCTGGCATAACTAGTATGCTTTAACCCACTACGCCATCAGACCTTACAAAAGAAGTAGATAGTTCGAGATATATATCTCAAACATCTCTACCTCCCGAAGGCACCAGATGAGTGAGGGGTCAGTCTGCATTTTTCGTCAAGCCACTGTCAATGTGAGAGAACTCGTGTCCAGCTTATAAGCCTATACTTGCATAAACCACAAGTGAAGATAAACAATCTTTGGACAACACCCACCAGTGGGACTCG